TCAGTACAAATCGGCAATTTCATACTTTAACCCCTATTATTTGAAAAAGTTTACAAATTAAAATGAAAGATAGAAAATATAGATTTCTTTCAGTTTACATTATCCAGGCTTATGTATACTACCATTTTTTAGGTTTTCATAAATGGCAGATTTGATTTTATATCTAGAGTGTGAAGTTAAATTGTTGACAGTACCTATTTGTTTGTTTTATTTATGATACACAGTGACGGGACGAATAAGTCGTGGGTTGACGAATAACAGTTGCAGTGCCACTCAGAGCTTTAAAGCGCAAAGATCTGAGGGGCACTGCCACTCCGCCCACCCTGAGACATAAGTTGACAAGTCCCATGTGCCTGTAATTTCACCAGCACCCTTACCCTTCAGAACCGGAACGCAGTAATGGTCATATTACTGCTTGGCGGCAAGAATAGGTGATGTGGCAGTACTTCCCTAGACGAACTCTTTCACAAGGAGCTCTATTACTCTACTACTGTTTCTCTTAACCGTAATAATTTTATGTCCCGCCTTGTCGTACAAATATTGTCCTGAATTCGCCTTTGAGTAAAATGTGCCGGTCTTATAATTGCATTAATAATGCAATTCTACTAGTCTTGATATTTTTAATTATTCTTTGTATAAATTTAAATGTAAATTCGTGTTCCTACAGCTTAGTGGCTACTTTATTTTCATTAATATTTTATTTTATATTTCACAAAATATTCAATTAATACAATTGCATATTCAATCAACTTTTTCTTTTTTATAAACTATTTATCAACTATTTATTTCGAACTTACATTCAATTATTTTCTTTAAATTTCAGTACATAAATGAACAATTTGGATTTATTAATACTTAAACTTTTTTTTAAATTTTTTAATCTTAGTATGTATTGAGTGATAGGATTTCTTTAATTGAATTACACATGGTGTCTTTTTTCTTTTTTTTTCTTTTAAATATATTTATGAGTAATCTGTTGAAGTTAATATGATAGATTTCTTAGACATAGCGCTGTCACTTCTTCGATAAGTATTTCCATATCAATCGCCCATCCGCGTTATACTATGAAGCAATTAAAATTTAGATTGTTTCATAGTACACTGCACATAGTATTATTATGAAGTTGAACAAATTAAAGTGCTCGGTAACGAAAATTTACGAAATTTAATAACGTACTACTAAAATTGAACAAGTTCTAAAGGTCAAATGATATTTAAACTTTGGGAATACTTAAACTTTGAAATAGTATAATTTATGTACCTATATGACTTAAATATTCCTTTGAGTCATGTGTAACTTACGTATATATACGTACCTACGTGTTCTTATTCAAATTACCAACAAACCGTTATAAGTTATATATTATGCTTTAGATCCAAAAAATTTGATGGTTTGTCGCTTTGCATATATGGTGGAAATGTACAATAATTTGATTATTAACGCAAATATTTTTATATAAATGTACAATAATTTGATTATTACTTTTGTGTAGCTTTTATGATTAACATTGAATGCGATCGACTTGTGATTTAAAATTAGTAATTTGTATCAAACAACGTTTGGATAAAATTGATCTTTTTCAACAAAAACAACGAAGGTTATAGAGAAATAGAAAGCAAGAGCTTATAAAATTTGATAAAATCTAAACAATACAAATCAAATTGTTTTCAATTATACTTATGTTTAATATTTGCCGCACTGTCTTGTACTCAGGACGTGTGCATTTCTGTAATTAAAAAACTATTTTGTTTTGAAATAGCAACCAAATTTCCATGTAATAAGGTCCGACCAAATTTGAGTTAATGATCGTACTGGATAAAGAACGAATTTTTGAAGAATAATATATCTTGGTCATCAAAAACTTTACACAGTTTAATTTATTTACAAAAAATATTTGTTGTCACCACTCGCTTCACTCGTGGTTCAAAAAAAGATTCCTGAGCTTAGCGAGGGTTTCAAGCCACGAGACGCAAAAGAATTTTGCTGCCTAGCTAAGCACACAACTTTTGAAAATGGTAGATGACAGAAAAACAGTTGAACTATAAAACTTCAGGTATTTCAAAAGAAAAAAATTATAAAAAATTACATATCTTCAGATATTTTCTGAATTTACACCTCATCAATTTTTATTCTTGCTTGTACTTTTATTTTGTCTGATTAAGTGATTATTGAAATTATTTTAGTTCTTCGACGTATTAAATTATAAAATAATTTAAGAAACACAATTAGTTATCATTGTCAATTTAATGTGAACAATAAAAGAATAAAATATACGAACGGCTTTATATTACATAAATAATTAAATGTACGGTATATCGCGTAGTTGAACGTGTCATTATCTTTTTTTTTTTTTTCAATGAAAGAAAATGTTAGGTTAGGTAGTCCATCGTCAAGTTCGAATTTCAAAAACCTTTTCCACTCTAGCGTGCAAAAAACCGTCTATACGCTTTTGCGCGCAGATTTCTAATAAGAAAGGCTTTCCGAACTAGTGAGGTGTAAAATATTTTTTATTTTTGGAGAAAGGGAAATAATAAGGTTTGTTTTTAATTGAGCTTCTTTTATTTACTCATATTAATCTTTAATAAATTAAACATTCTTTAGTCAGTTTAACAAGTAACATTCTACACATCGATATCACAGTACAGGCCTTTGTTATAATTCCCAGAGGTATTACCACATGGAGCTCAGTAGTTATAGTTACGACCAGGGTTGTAAGCGCCGTCTCCACTGAAACGATTAAAAATGTAATGCAATCTGGTTATATTTTGCAATCGATTATAATGTGGGTATTTCATTACAACGACTTTACAATTCTACTATTAACTTACCCAGGATTTTGTCTATTGAATTCAATAGAACGTAGGATCTCAGCGGGAATCGGAGGGGGAGTGGGAATGTGAGATCCCGTAGGATGGAATCCGTTCTCATCAGCGGTGTAAGTGAGGGAGACTTGCTGACCGTCAGGTGTTCGGAAGGAGTACCCTCCTTCAGATGTCACTGCAGGACCCTCTGAACCAGCGGCGCGGGGAGCGCCACTCTCATGCGCAGAAATACCATTAGCATCGTAACTAGAAACAAAATACTTTTTGTGGTTACCTAATAAGTTGTTTATGAAAACTTTGTTAAATAAAACCCAGATCATGAAAACTTATACGTATTTCCTGAAATTGTTCGTACATCCACACACTTTATAATATCCGTACAACTGTTAGTAGTTAGTAATGGTAGTACGTTAGATCCCACGACTCTCATAAATAAAAGTTTTAGAATATTACTTCCTATTCAAAGCGTATTGTCGTATAATTGGACTCAGAAAGTCATATTTTCCGGAATATGCAAATTACTACAATATAAACTAAAGTCATCAATAAAGGATCAAAGCTTTTCCTTACCAAGTTAACATTTTTATAACACACATCTTACAAGTAATGTAATAGCTTATGGCGAAATTATACAGTATACATCTTTATCAACATAATCTATGTTATAATCATTGAATAAAAATTACGTCTAATACATGCTCATTGTTTCTTGAGTTAGGTATTCTTTTTTTTGAAAATAGCCATTATGACAAGCATACAGGTAAATCATTACGGTCTATATTTCTTACCTAAACCTATAACTGCCATCACCGTTATGGACATTCTCGAAATTGTATGGCGCACTGTAAGCACTAGCGCCAGAGCTAGCGCTGGCACTAGCGAACGCTCCAGCCCGGGAGTATGCTAGATGGTCGAGACGACCGCTAGAAACTGCAACCAGGAGGGTGGCAGAAAGGACGGTGAACTGGAATTAGAACGAAAAGTTTATGAAATTCATTTGTGGTTGCAATTTGCCGTAAACATTTCTGTTTCATTTGCAACAACTAACGAATAAAGAAACCCATAAGATAAACAAATCTTTCTGAATAACTCTGAATAATCGCCAAACCGTTTATCAAAAACGACAATTGTAGCTATTTTTCTTTAATTGTTACAAAAGTTATTGATACTACAGTTCAGACGAGAGTGCTTTGCATCAATATTAGACATCACTGATTGATGACTTTACCATCTCAGCGAGCAATAGCATTGGACCGGTAAAAAGCCCGAAACGTTGAATAAAAAAACACATATGACTGGATTCGAAAAAAGTTACATTTCCAATATGTAGCGATCGTGAAAACCTGAGAATTCAATTCCAAATTTGGATAAATTTATGATTCCAATCGCACATCTGCCTACATGTCAGTCGTTTGAAATCCTGTAGCTCTGAGTACTAAAGATTTAACAAATACATGTTTTGCAACGTACGTATACTTCTTATAATGTTTGTCGTATTTATTTTTTACTTTTCAATATAAGCATTGAGTTAAGCGAGAAAATTTGGAGCAACGATTCAACTCTAAATCATAATTAGATCTTTTTTATCTTCAAAATTCTCACCAAAATACTCATGATGGTAGATGAAGTTGATACACCGAACAATAGTACTCAAATAATGCAAAGTGCTAAGATACTGGCGTTATATACCAAACTGTTGCCCTTTAGGCGTTGCCTCACGTCGCTCCTATTATTGATACGTTGTCTTCATAGTGTTCAAATGTACAGCCGTGAGAATTTTATATCTTACAAGGTGATAGCTATGAATCCTTTCAACAAAGGTGTCTTGTTTTATCTTATGGCATGCTGCATCCGCAGAGGTGTGTTAAATCTGTAAGGTTTGAAATATAACGGCCTTCGGGTCACTTTTCAAAATTATTTACATCTGAAAACCTTCCTCAAAATTCGTTCACATATACTAAAGATTTCTTTATTATAAAGCGTAATATATTGGTTTATAATACATCAGCGAATGAATGAATGAATGGATGGAATATACTTTTTTGCACATAAAAAATTTCAATGATAACACAAAACAATAATGTAAGTATCACAGGAGTATCGTAGTATTGATCAGAGAGTAAACCAATGTAGATACAACAGGCGGCCTTATTACTAGATATATAAGAAAATAACCATTATTCCAAAAGTTTCAACAAAAACCCCTTCCATCCAACTCAAAAAGGAATTGAACAGAAGGCATTCCTTCAAAGGATAATATCCGAAACAAGTACTTTTATTTTTCAAATTTTTAACATTTCATTATATCTGGAGCGAGATGTTATCACCCCATAGAGACAAATAGATCCTACGTGAAGGAAAAGGCTCGTGCTGAGGTCAGCGAAATCTATTCTAAGGGTCATTGACAGCTGAGATTGCGTTGCAGTCCTTCAAGCCCTTCGTAAGGCAATGGAGTTTCCCTGTTCGCTCGTTATCCGGAGCGATAATTGGTAGATCGAATTTCTGTTGAAGCTGGAAGCTATAGTGGATTTATATTTGTGTCCATATTCGTATATTGAGGTGTAATATAATAAACTCGACAGAGAGAGAAGTTTCAACAAAAAAATACGGTATTTATTGATAGATCGGTCACGGAGGGGGAGCTAAATTGAAAAATTATTTCACACATACTCTGAAATGTATACGATAGAAATTCTGTAGCTTCGACACCATAAGAGAGTCCTTATTCGTTCGTTTAGTAGCAGTAGAACTCCTTGTGAAAGAGTTCGCCCAGGAGATTACTGCCACCTTACCTATTTCTGCCGCCAAGCAGTTATGCCAGCATTACTCTGTTCCGGATTTGAAGGGTAAGAGAGCTGGTCAAAGTTCAGGCACATGGAATTCGTCAACCTATATGTGACGGTGACGGGCGCAGTGGTACCCGCTACAGGCACAGGGAACTTGTCAACTTATGGCTCAGGGTGACGGGTGCAGTGGCAGTGCCCCTTGGATCTTTGCGATTTAAAGCTCTGAGTGGCACTACAAATGTAATGGACAGGACAGTTAAGGACTAAGGAAAAAAACACTAATAAATTATCTTTGCTTTTCGCTCCACCGAGTTCAAAGCAGCTATCTTGTAGCGATCAGAGCTACTAAAGGTGGCAACTTTACTCCATACACGATCGAACTTGGGCTTATAGAGACTTGAAAAGAATGCTTTGTTTTTTGGCAGCAGTTTTTGCCAAGCACTTGGTGTACTATTTATACTGGTTGACATTATTTTATTTATGCAATATTTTACGGGGAAATTTAATTCATGAATTTACTATGGAACAGCTTCACAAGACGATTGCTGTCGCTGTTATAAATATTTTTGGCTACTGTACGAAAACGATATGCAACAAAGAACTCATTAAACTAATATTAATAAGCAGGACTACTTTACGTAACAAAGTAATTTTTCCTTTTAAAAATATTGTAAAAATATGTGTGGGTATAGTTAACTCATAGTTAAAATAAAAAATACAATAAATGAAACAATAGACTACAGTTAATCCTTTGTGATATTCTTCGTACTATCTCGTTAATAAGTTATCCACAGCTTTTTGTTCTCTGCTCACAGTTTAAAGTTTTTGAAAGTATTTATTTAGATATCCTATACACATGTATTATGCTAGGTCTGAATCATATCTGAACAATCAATATGTGAACATAGTACATTATGATGTACACGGGGCCTTGGGAGATTAAACAAAAAACCAATCTGTAAAAAACTAAGCGTATACAGAAAGAAGCAGCGCTTCAAGCTCAGTGATAGAAGTACATAAACATATTTGCAAGATCGTTTACCTCTTAGAAAACAGTGAACACACGGGTGAAGTAAGAAGTGAAACGAGTATTGAATTCTAAGCACTGAATTATGCAGTGTTCATGCCAATTCACGTTTTGAATAAAATTTTTAAAATGGACCCACACGAAAGTACATAAATGTATCTTGGTATGTTATTTACAATTCTGCGCTCGGAACGAATAAAGGCACAACTACTGTGTAAAGTATGCATAATCGTCCCTTTTTTGGTTACGAGGGCAGAATTGTTCCAATATTATCAAAACATTTTGTAAATAATTATGTATATAACTTATTAAATTCAAATAAATCATTCAATACCAAATAAAAATATAATGAATTAGAAAAAAAGTTTTTAACATACAGGCACGATCATAATTATAATATTGTTACAAAACAAATCCACCTCAAAATTTTGTGGAATTATATCTACTGAGCAAGTTTTATTCAATTCGGTTAACGGAAATGCATGCCCTAATTTGCCACTTTTGAGGTGACACACTTTCGTCAAATTTGAGGTATCCCCTTTCCAACTAAAAAAGTAACGAATTCGGTTCACAAATGTCGGTGTAATTTCATTCATTTGAATTGAATTTCGGTCATTTGAAAAACAAATATAGGCGATTCTAAGTCCGGAAAAAAATTGTTTTATTTTCAATGTTAGCAGTCGCGAAAACCAAACCAAAAACCAAACCAAACCAGATAAAGTCAAAAGAAAGATAAATCGAAAGCATTACGTATACAAAAGATTTGTAGTTCTTTTTTTTCCTATAAATATGTTAATAACTTTGACCAAAATTGCTTTTCTTTGAACAACGTCAAGTTCCCTGAAGGGACAACCAGATTTGCATGATTTTATTACATATTATGAGTGTTGTGTGTAAGAATGTGTCAAACTATCAAAGTGGAGAAGAAGTACGTGTAACCACCAATTGTATTTTGTATATTTTATATTTCCACGTCGCTGAACCAAAACTTTTTCCTCTCCTCAAGTGGGCTTGTATCATTTATACTTGTATCACTTTAAACTTACTTTTAACAGCAAATTTGAACGCTATTTTAAATAACGTTAGATATACGAGTACATATAGGTACTCGTAGATTTTCTTACAGCTAACACCACACAAACAATCTGTGTTTTAATTTTTTTGTTCGTGATTTTGTCTTTTAATTATTTAGTTTTTATTATTTATTTATTATTTCTCTATTTTGTTAATTTTTTTTCAGTTTTCAGTTAAATAAATTTATTTTCTTTTTTTTTTTTCAATTTTAAAGAAAGTATTTTGACTGCTTAACTCTAGCTGTGACCTGCCCGTACCATCGATTTGTAATTTTGATAGTTAACAATCCAAAATGTTTAATTGGTTAGTACCGTAACCATGGTGGATGTCCAAACGTGTCATTACATTGTGGACTGGTAAAAAAATACTTATAAAACCCAATTAACTACTAAAATATCTTGACATATTTTTATTATTGTAATTACTGTAACAAGAGCTAATTTATGTCAGACGTTATGGTAGAGGACACGCATCGGAATCTAGTTATATGTCCAAGTGTAATGAAATTAATTTGCATACATATTTGAGTAAGCTTCATTCAGAAATTTCCTTCGGGAGACCTGGCATGCGAATACTAAAAGGCTCATTGAAACTTCCATACAATGCTTATCTATATTAGCATAGGTATTTTGTACGTGAAAATTATGCTATACAAGTATACTACACAAACAAATAATTACTTTGCAATTGTAACTAGTCAAGTTTTTAAGCGTAACATGATAGAAATTTAGAACATAAAGTGATTATATTATGGTTATAATAGCAATAGAGCTCCTTGTAAAAGAGTTCGTCCAGGGAAGTATTGCCATCTTACCTATTTCTGCCGCCAAGCCACAATGCGGGCACTACTGCGTTCCTGTTTTTTTGAAAAGTAAGGGTGCTGGTGAAATTGCAGGCACATGGGACTTTTCAACTTGTCTCAGGATGACTGGCAGCGCCCCTCAGATTTTTGCGTGATAAAGCTGTGAGTGACACTGGAACTACTATGGACAGGCGTATCGGTTACCATCAGGCGCACGACTTGTTCATCCCGTCACTTGGTATCATAAAGAAACAAGATTGTTTCCTTACAGAAGT